GTGATCCACTAATTTACCCATAAGAAAGGTAGGGAAATGCTGGCTTAGATAAAAACCTTCCATTTCCTGCTCCTTACCCAAGCTGCCAGCTCCTCATGCTAGGAAGCACGACAAAAGAAAACATCGAGTTGTCCTGCTCCATCAGCCTTCCTGCCCCTCTGCCCTGGGATGGGCTGGAGTCACAGGAGGAGCCCATGGACAGGCCTGCCCCATCTCCCCTGGCCCCAGGAGCTGACCCCCAAGTCACAGGAGGAGCCCATGGACAGGCCTGCCCCATCTCCCCTGGCCCCAGGAGCTGACCCCCAAGTCACAGGAGGAGCCCATGGACAGGCCTGCCCCATCTCCCCTGGCCCCAGGAGCTGACCCCCAAGCTTCCAGCAGGCACAGCTCAGCTCTGCAGAGCAGGAGCACCATCTGTGTGTGTGGGAGCGTGCAGGCACTGAGCAATGGGCATGGAAGGGAGGGTTCAGCTGCCAGCAGGTGCCAGGCAGCCATGCACATGCCCGTGTGGGTGGCTCTGCAGATGGCACTGCCAGGCAGTGCTGGCCTTGGTGTTTCTGCTTCCCAGTGGCAAATATTCCCATGGCAAGGGGTAGGAAGGAAAAGCAGGATTTTTCCTGCTCCTGGGCTGGGTAAAGTAGTAAAGTCTGGGGGATCTTCAGGGCTCAAGGGATGGCATGAGTGTTTCCTCGTGGTCCTGTGCCTTCTGAGCCCTGTGGTTGTAGTTGTGTGCTGTACATAAACAGCAGCCAGGCTCCACGCCAGCACACACAACTCCCCAGGACTGAGCTAATTACAAACCACAGAGGAGCTCAAGGGATTGAAGCCTCTTACCAGGGATGCAGCTGGAGCTTTACCAAATTCCGGATCAGGGGCAGAGCATTTGCCAAGCCCCAGCTTACGGGGATGCCACCACAGCAGCTCCCACGTGAGCCCCAGCACCAAGCCCTGACATCTGTGCTGGGTGTGCAGCCTCGGGGCTATCAGAGCAAACCCAGGACATGCACTGAAGAGTCAGAGGCCAGTCTGCCCTACAGGGACACATCTGCTCCATCACTGACACCTCAGGCATCACAACACTTGTTCTACCAAGGGACAGCCCCAGCAGGACTTACCACCACTGCTGATCAACATCCAGCTAATTCTTCCTCAAGCCTTTCTCTCTGACCACCACCAGGATCTTCCTCTGTTGCTTTAAAAGCAGCTGTGACATCCAGTCACAAGAGGAAATCATCTCCCTTTGCAGCCAGATCCCAAGAACTGCCCAGCAGGGAACACAGCTTGGAAAAAGCCCCAGCTCCTTGGGCAGGAGGGTGGATGCACAGCCAATCCATCTCCACAGGCTTTAGGCCAACTCCTGAGCAAGCCCTGCCCTTTTATTAGCCATTTGTAGGTGAAACCTGTGGAGGTGAGCTGATCTGGGAGATTTGTATCACCTGGGATAACCTTGGACTTGCTGACTGCTCCTTTGTCCCCGTGGCACCCAGCCCACAGTGCACAGACACACAGACACATGCACAGCCTGATTTATGGCAGGGCTGGGGAGGGCAGGTGTTGGACCAGCTCTTTCAAGGGCAGAAGCCCAGCTCACACCTCCCCGTCCACATCTTAGTGGTGATTTTACACTTACCTCACATTATCCACCTGCTTGCCTAAAGGATTTCATCTGTCCCAAATTGCAGCCTGGTTTGGGTCTCTTTTGGGGCTGTTCCCCTCATGTGTGCAGCTTTCCTTCAAGTGTCCCATGGCTCTGTTTGTGTGAGTGTGGAGTGACAGATTCAGGTTCTCTTGGCGCCCTCAGGAAAGCTCAGATGGTCCCACATGAGCCCTCCTAAGGAATAATTTAATTATATCCCTTTCTTACCTTCTTTCCACCCCGGAGAAGCAAAAGCCAGGCAGATCTGCATGATTTTTGAGGCTGGGATTTTGTTCTTGGATAAAAGTCTTTTAAAAACTCAGTAAAACCCCCTAAAGCTATATTAAAAAAAAAAAAACAACAAAACAACAAAACACCAACCAAACAGAGTGGGAGAAAGAGCAGCAGAAAGGAACAGGCCTGGGAAGCCAGCCCTGCACTTTGCCCCGATGCCCAGGGACAAGGGGCTCTTTGTTTCCCTGGCCAGAGCTTGCTGTACTGGCCCTTTTCAGGCTCCCTCCCTGGGAAAAGGGCCAGGGGAAAGCAGGCACAAGGCAAAACCCTGGGGCTGCTGTGAATAACCCCTGGTCAGACCCTCAGCAGCCTCCCCTCTTACAGAGCCAGTTGTAGGGACCCTGCCAGGAGCAGCACCGGGAGCAGAAGGTGCCCGGGAACCCTTTGGCTCCCTGCTTCCCACACACCATCCCTGGAAATGAGCATGCTCCTGTTCCTGCTGAGCAGCAGTCTTTGAACTTCTCTGTGTCTTTTGGACTTTGCCATCCTGAAGCACCTGCTGAACTGCACTGGAGCACCCAGTGCTGTGGAAACTCCTGCTCGTGGTTTCCTGGACCCAAGAATCGCCCAAGTGCTCTTTCCAAGTGTATCCATCTGTCTGTCCAGGCTGGAGCTGTGCTTTGAGGCTGGTTCTGCACTCTGGTGTGGCAGCTGCCTGCAGGCTGGGAATGCTGCAGGGCTCCCTGTGCCCTGCCCTACACCCATGCCAGAGTGCACAGGGTGACATGAGCTGGTCCAGAAAATCCCAGGAGAATAGGGGAGGAAATGCCCCTGCACCCATGGGGAGTAAGGTGCAGCCAGGGACTTATCCTGCCTTGCCAGGAGATGTGCAAACACCATCTGCTCTCATTTCTACAGAGAATAGAGGACCACAGAAATGTGCCAAATTAGCCCCAAAACACAATGCATGTCCCAAAATTTGGGCTCAGGCTGACCCAGCACTGCAGCCAGGTCCCATATCTGTGATGTTCCATTTCCCACCATCCACAGGATGATGCTTACTAGAAAGCAGGGCAGGAAAATAAGAGTAATCTCTCCCCAAGTAAAAAAAAAGGTTCCTCCTCAAGGCTATTGTGCCCCTGGGAAAAGCAGGAGTTTGTGGTGTCCCACACCAGCATGGCTCTGGGCTTCAGGAGCATAAATGCTCTTCAACCTTGTTACATGGGGATGGCTTGGGTGGTCCTTCCCAGCTTCTCTACCCCTGTGCCAGAGCTAGGGAGGATATTTACACCCCAGGGACACCTTCCCAAAGGGTTTGGGTGCTCCCCAGCCCTGGGGAGGGGGCTGTGGAATCGGTTCTGTGCTGCTGCTCTTAACAGCACCAGCCAGAGCGGAGGGGAGATGGAGCAGGCTTTGTTAAAATCAATAAATTCAAGGAAAAGGCCTTGAACGTGTTTCCTCAGCAACTGTGACGTCATGTGGACGTCTGGCCTCCCCTTCTTCCCCCCCTCCTTCTTATTATTAAAAGGGAAAATAAAGGGAAGCAGACAGTGAAGGGGAGCTGGGGACAGTCTCCTGGCAACGCTGGGGACAGTAATGTCCCTCCTGCCAGGGGACGTGGCTCCAGCACAGGCAGCCCTGCCAGGCCTTGTGGCTGCACTGGCAGGATGGGGAGGGCATCCCTGGTGTCCCTGGGGTGGAGGTGACAGCACTCTGGGCATAGTCATGTCCCCAGGGATGCTCAGCTTCTTCCCAGCCCTGCTGAGCCCAGATTTGCCCCGTGTTGAGTCCTTGGTGAGCAGAGCAGTGGGAGCTTGGCCACTCCATTCCCCTTCTTAATTCCAGACATTTTTTGGTGATGAGGACTGTGAGTCTCCTCCCACGGTGCCAGGGTCTGGCAGGAGGCAGGGCAGGGCAGGGGCTGGGGACAGGGCCCCTCTGGGGGTTGTCACTGTCACCTGCTGGGGTGCCCCTCACCCTGCTGTGGCTGCACAATTCCCCTCACGCCATCCTTGTCATTTGAGCTATCTAATCCATCCTGGCTCAGTTTTAACAGGCAACAGCCAGTGGCTGAGCCAGTGGGAGATGGCAGAGGAGTCCACACAGGCATGGGTGGCTTGGGGACAGGGAGAAGGGACTTTTCCTGCTCTTCCAAACATCCCACACTGAGGCATCACTGTGCCCAGCAGCAAGGTCTTGCCAGCCCCAGAGCCCCTTTGCTGGGCACAACTCAGCTGTGAAATGCCACAGATGGTGCTGGAGCTGGGGGCAAACAGGGTCACAAAGCAATTAGCCCAGGGCCTGCCCAGCAGCCCCGCTCACCTCAGCCATCCTGACCTGAGCCACAGCAGGAAAAGTCTTAAAAACCCTGATTGTCAGGACCAGGGAAGGAACCCTCTCCATGTCCCTGCTTCTCATTCCCTTTGCTAAGCCTCCACTGCTGTCTCCTGCCAGAAGAGGGTGGTGAACGAGGCTTAGGCTTAGCTCAGACCTGTTTTCCTGGATGCACATTTAATTTGTTGTTACATACCCAGCCATGGAGTGACACTGTTTTTAATCGCTGTGTGTATGTCCAGCAGGGGAAATCGATACATTCCTGTGAGTGCCAAGAGCGAGCTGATGCCTCCTAAGACTGAGAGAAACAGAAATAAAGATGCAGGTTTCCAAGGGAGGGCAGTAGGCTTTCCCCCACATGTGCAACCCTGGGGGTAGGGGTAGATGCAGGTGGTACCCAGAAGCCAAAGGCATTGCAGGGATACCCTTTCTGGAGCTGGGCATGCTGCTGTGACATCAAAGTGTCACCTCTGGAAGAGCTGGGGTCCCACAGGTCTGCCCACTACCCTGTGTTCCCTCTGTTGCTGGGGCTCTTCCCACCTCTGCCTACAGCAACTGGCAGAGCTGCCTCCTGCTCCCAGGAGCTGCTTCAGCCTGAGCAGGACCTGGGGACCTGGCACTTGGGGACAGCCAGATGGACACGCTGTGCTCTGGTGTCACTTCTGCAGGGCAGCTGGAGCAAAGCTGAGCCATGGTGGGGCTGCAGGCTGGGGGTGGCCCTGTGCAGACCCCTCCAGAAGGGTTTTGCTCCATCCCTGTCCCCTGAGTGTGTTTTTCTCCCTGTTTCTCACTGCAGGTTCATGAATCACCGTGTCCCATCCAACTGCAGGTACCAGCCCACGGAATATGAGCACGCAGCCAACTGTGCCACCCACGCTGTGAGTCCCTGTCACTGTCCCTGGGTGAGGGAAGATGGTGCTCAGCTCTCTGGGGATCCACTGAGGAACCTCAAGGGACACCTAAAAATGTCTGTGTTCAGCCCTGGAGCAGTCACTGAGAGTCTGAGGGCTGTGATGAGGCAGAGGTGCCCCGTGTGCTCCTGGGGACCGGGATGTTCTCCCTCCTCCTGCCCTGGGAAGTTGATATGCATCTGCCTTGCTCTCACCCACTGTGGCCCCATGACCCTGGGGAAGCTGGCTGCGGGCTTGGTAGGGCAGGAGTATTTTCAAAGCTCCCTGAAAATGGATTTTTTCACAGCAAGAACTGTGACAGGAACCCATGGGGCTGCCTGTGTAGCAGTGGGAGGGAACTCTCCCCCCA